GCCTCTCTCAGATCAGTTGTAAGGCACCTAAATTTCTTTGCTATTCCTAATTGCTCCCTACCTTTAAACTCAAGGATTTCTGCGTGTGACTTTCTGGGAGTGACATGATGTAGACAGCCATCCCTTTACTTTCTTGGGAGGCATCTTTTGTACCTTATAGATCCTGGTAGGTGATAAATGCCCATAATACCCATTAAGGGCTAATCCAATTCACAAATTATTTTTTCCTCCATTCATCATCATCTTCATCATCATAATCATCATCATCATCATCACCGTTATCTTAAACATTTCTAGAACATGTTCCATATATCAAATCACATTTTAATATTTTAACCAAAATAGATATAGAATTATAATTGACGTTTATTGTAATAATCATAACATTGATTAATATAATGATTCTCAAACTTTAATGTGCATATTCATCACCTGGAAACCTTGCTTAAATGTAAATTTTGCTCAATACGTCTGGGGTGGGACCCAATAATTTGCATTTTTATCAAGCTCCCAGCTGATACCAATGCTACTGGTCTGTGGACCATCACTTAAGTAGCAAAGGAGTAAAACCAGCTCTTCTGACATCTAGTTTAATGTCTTCTACTATGTCACTCTTTCTGAGTATGAGAATCTGTTCTCTGCTCTGGGGAGGTGGGAAGCTATTAACTTTATGATATTTTCACAATTTAATATTCAGTCAAAAATAAAAGTTTTGCAAATTTCTTCTTAAATATAAATCTAAAACATAGTTTCCTTTAAAACCAAAATGAATATTATTGCCTCTAATGTATATAAACCAAAGAGATAATGAAATTTTCTTATCTTCATTTTTTGTCCATCTGTTGAAACTTAATATATATAGGAAAACTATACATTCATGGTCTAATGCATTTTATCCTTGCAGATTCTGTGACATTAAAACTCTACCCCTTGCCTTAGCAGAAGGTCTCATTTTCTATTCCTGGAGCTAGCAGCATTCCATTTGACATTTGATGCCCATGAGATTTTAACAGAATCTAGGTTATAAGATTGCCACATATTTTGAACAGGGATCTGTGTTGCTTTCCCCAGAGGTGTTCTGCCTTATACTTTTCTTTGAAACAGTTTTGCGTATTTAAAAAGAAGCCTCCAATGATAAGACCTTTTGCATAATAATCACCAGTGACTAGACAGCTTTTTGTTTTAAAGAGAATTTGTTCAGAGGAAAGAAAGCCATAGTGATCCCCTCTTCTAACCATAACTCAAAACAAAAGACCATATCAATATTGTAATGATAGAGTGAAAAAATGTTTCCTACCATAAACCTCAATATAAGTATAAATTTCCTTATATTTTTGAAAAGACAAATCAGTAAAATGTCTTTAAAATGAGTAGTACATACAACTCAGCATAAAGGCTTTAGTTCAAATGCAATATACTAAAAATTGTCTTTCTAATCATCCTGACAAAAACATGCATTCATATATACAATATATAATCAACTTAGGTAACTTATTGAAAATGGGTTCATCTAAATTATTTTATTCCCAGAGATGCAGAAAAATTGACAGTAAGATGTTTAGTGTTTGATAAAATGACATGTTCTAATGTAATTGTTACTTAAGTTTTATGCTTAGCACAAACCCATAATAATGATAGGCTCTCTCCTTTATATCTGTCTATATATGCCGGCCAAATTGACCTACTTAACCTTAAATTTGATTAAATTTAGAATTAACTATTTCTGATATAATATAAATGACAAAATATTCAAAATACACTCATTATAATAACTGCTTTAAATTATACACATCTATCCATAGTAGTTTTTTTAATTCTGAAGTTTCTTCCACTGCTTAGTATGGTGGCTTACACATGACAGGTGCACAGACAAAAAAAATGCTTATAGGAAAAAAAATGAGTGTATTAATATTAACTAAGCTAAATGAAGATAATCTTTAAGCAAATAATTTACAACAAAAATAATAATAAAGAAAGAAAACTAACCTTGGGAATTCTTTTCTATGTGCCAAACATTGGCTAGGAATAACACGAATAATATTGTGTTAAATCCGCACAAAAATATTGCAAGATACACACCATTATTTTCCCTCAGAAAACTGAGATTTTATAATCTCCCAAAATAACAAACTAGTAAATTTTAGAGCTCACACTCAGACCCAGATCTTTGTGGCTCGAATCCCATGGTCACTATTCTCTTTCCATCTGTTAACTTTAGTTTAGAACTTTCTTGAGTGCAAAAACCAAACACAGTCACCTCTTTGGTATAATGTAGATACTACTTAAAGACTCTTGAATTTAATTTTATAGAATAAGGTAAGAGTGTTTGCTTTTACAATTAGATAAACTTTGACATAATTTAAATTCTTGCCTTTTCTAAATATGCTAGGTAAGATTTTAGCCTTTATTCAGTTTGTTTATTGTCACAACCATTATCATCACGGCATAATTGTCATCATCCTTGATAATTTGAGACATAGTGTTTACTGAGTAATTACTCTGTTCTGTTCTTGTCAGTGTGCTGTTATGCCTCTCTGCAGATTTAACTCATTCATTGCTTACAAGTCATCAAACATGATATTTTTGGCCATTATGGATCAGGCATGATATGCCCAATATTCAAATTGCCATTAACAAGTGAGACAATATTATAGGTGTGTTTTGAAGCAACAAAGCAATTGCTTTATTAAAGATAACACTTCCAAGAAAATGGGGAAGTAAAACATCTTTCTATTATCATTTTCCTAAGGAATGATGCTGAGTGAGATGTTTATTTGTCTTAAATTTTATAAGCTGGTTCTGTTAAGGATATAAAAAGGAGAATCATGCAGTTACTTTTCAGTTTGCCAAATTGATTTTCTAATGAGTCCATCGTAGATTTGATATTTTAATGTTGGCCTGCAAAGGCTGTTTTAAATTGATAGCTGAATACACAATAACAATGCATCCTACATATCACATTGTCCTTTGTACATTACCAACATTACTGTTTTTCTTCAGAATGAATTTTATTTTCCATTGAATGTATCTATTGGTATTTACTTCCAATTCTTACATACTCTCAAAATAAGTACAATACGCTGATTAAAGAATCATGATAGTTGAGTCAGGTGTTGCTTTTTAGAGTTGGTGTTGACTGCATATTGGCACAGTTTGGTCAGTTCACTAATAATTTTCATATTTTAACACTGTTTCCATCACAAAATGCATGAGATTGTATCCAAGCCTCCTTGAGCTTTAGCTACTTGCTTCACACAGCTTTCACTGAAGATGAGGGTATTAGCAGGGCCTTAAACATATTCTTCACCTCAGCTTTCATGTATTCCTTTTTCCTGTTTGTTATTTTGTACCATGGACAGGATAAAAAAAGTCCAAATCAGAAGAAACTGATTATCTAGACAAGAAGATTGATTTTCATTTGTTTGCTTTTTTTGTGTGATTTTTGTTATTGTTCTCTGTTTGAAATTGATGCCTATGTGATATTATAGTCCATACATTTCATTGCACTGAAGTCGATTTAATATATCGAAAGTTGTATCATTTAGCCAGAGTCAGCTAATGGTGCACTTGAAATTGGAGGTAGTAAATACCTTTGCTTTAAGGCCCTTTAGTTAAAAGTAATTTTAGACTTCCCCAACCTGGATTTTATGACAATTCACTAAGCGTTAGCTGAAACTCAAATTTATATTACCAAGAATGGAAAGATTCTGTAATTCAGATTTCCCATAGTCAATTCTATTTTAATGAACATTGCTGATGATATTAGAACTTATTTTAAAAGCTTTAAAGATGACATTTTATAGCAAGATAATAAATTTTTGTTTGTTTAAAGCCAAGTGAAATCATATACTTTTATAATTTAAGTAAATGTATTTTTCTATTCACCACACACTCCCAACAAATTCCATTCTGGTGTCAGTGGCAAATATTGCCATTGCCATAACCTGTGGAGAGAAGGAATTAGATATTTAAGTGGGGGAATAGAATAAAGCTGGGAAATTAAATTACTATAAAATTATATGTTTAAGAATTGAAGCAATATTGCTGTTTTTCTTAATGTTTCTCAATAAGCTAGTATTTTCTTTTATCAGGATATTGTGTCTATGTAAAGACCATTCTCAATGCAATCTTTTCCCCCCAATATCTGTTGTTAGGTGCTGTATATAATAACATTTTAAAAATTCTCTAATCTTAGTTTAAAAAGAAAAAAGTATAAGCAGTACATACTCCTCTGGTAGGCTCAACAAATGCAAGTATGATTTGTCAACATTACTGAATGTGTCCAGAGCAATTGATAAAGCAGCTTTATTAAGTAATCATATTATATTAGAAAAGAAATATCAATGCAAAGAACCATTTTCTAATTTGCTCATTTTATGGGCAAAACTGGCTGATGGTATATATTTGTACATATTTACAAAATTCAGTCAGTTGAAAGTGTTTCTTTCTAAAGTATCATTTAATCAAATTTCATTAGGAGAAGACATCAAGTTTCAGAGGGCTCACTTGACATTATTGTTTGGAGGATAACAAAGGACCGTGATGTGTAATTTTTAATCCTTATTCATTGCATTATTTCTGCTAAAACCACTGGTGAAGATAGAGTTAGGATTTTTAAAAGACCAGACTTTGCTTCATAGTCTTATGTTTGCTGTCTGTTTTTAAGTATCCATCAACTATTTATAGCATAATTATAGCTACATGTGTTTCCAATATTGACTTACAAATATTAACTAATTAAAGAAAATATTCTCAGGGTGGGATTCCTGAGACTCATGGCTTTTGGGGAGGAAGTTGGGCAAAGAGTTTTGAAAACTGCTTTAGGACTTCAGTAAAGCTATTAACTGTACTGTGGGATTGGATGGTTATTATGAATGTCAGAATGAAGACTAGCTCATTTACTGGGACCATGAGCGGTGAGGGAGTCCATCCTGCTCCCCATTGAGCTGCTTTACTGTCCTTTCTATTGTAAAGGTGTCCACCTTTGTCTTGTCTTTCAGTCCTCCACAAGCAACCCAGAGAAGTGTGTCTCTGTTTGCTGGAGCTTGGCCGGATTGCAGCCAGGTAGGTCATACTACTGCCGCTACTTATGACTCGACCGTCTCAGCATCCAAGCAGCTGAGAAGCTTGCTGCCTTTTCATCGCTGATGTTTAACCTAGGTGTTGAGAGGCAACTCCTTCAAATATGATCAGTATGAACGTCTTGAGAGCAATTGTTCAAACTAAAAAACTGGACCACCAATATTGTTAGCATCGTGGCCTTATTGTCAAAGTCACTATGCTTAAGCATTTTCTAAATATCCTTTAATTGAATACATTTTCCTTGCAACTCTTTCTTGGGAGGCTGGGGAGGATCTTGTACATGAAATTGTATGTGACAATTATGCTTTCCTTAGTGGAAAGTCTATTCCCATTATTCTCTCTCTTTCTCAGCTCCTTCACCCCTCTCTTCCTGTTTACTCTTTAATAATTTTCAGCCTCTTCTTTTGTTCCTTTTTTCTCATTTTCCCCATTTAACTTCTCATCCCTCAGCTCTTTTGGTTTCTACTCCTGAGTGGATGGATAGTTTTAAAATTATTCTCCATAATTTGATTGGAAAAAGATAGAATATTATCCTTCATATGTAGAGATATCTTTGGAATCTTCTTCTTCTAGAAAAGAAAAACAAGAAGTAATTGTAGAAATCATAACTGTAGCTAAATAAGCAGGGGAAGGGACTTTATTAGCTCAGCTGACTTGATTTGGTTTCATGTCTTCTCCTTATTACATTGAAAATCCTCAAACAAGGCTTCTGACAGTTTTATAAAGCCCAAAGAATTATAAATGAAGATATAAATGTTTGAATAGATCTTGAAGCAAAATAAAACTTCAGAATTAATTAGAATTCATTTCTCATCCAGATCTGATTATACTTCTAGCATTGAGATCAGATGAACCAATAAGACAAAGTAAGAGTTTGCTCTGGGTGTTAATTCTCAAAGGGAGAGCTATAAAGAAAAGAAAAGACAAGGTGAGCACATCAGCAAATTACAGCAATGGGTAGAAAACTTGCTGCCAATGAATAGCCCTCTTTTTGAGCCAGTGGAAAATTCACTGTAATCAGAAGAAGTAACCCCAAGTTCTTTAAAGCATCATAGTCAACATAATCTTAACAAATTGTTCATCAGGTATGGATTTTACTTTATCATAATAATTGGATGAGAGAGATTGTTTTAATTTTAAAACATTTGAATTAAATAAGAATGAGGCTCCACTCAATAAGGAGTGAAAAAAATCAATTTGAGACATTTAGGGATGTCCCTACTTTCTCCCACACCTTTCCCAGCTATATTGTGTGACAGCCTCTGGAGAGGGTCTCCTTGTCTTCTGACCACTCAGGTCTCTACTACTCAGGCATAGTCCATAGTATCTGACTGTTTCTTAGGACCCCATTCCCCTTCAAGGCTGTCACTTTCTTGGGTTCTGAGAGGGAGCAAGACAAAGGTACCTGTTGCTTTTAGGACTCCGGTAAGCCACTCCTCTACCATGCTTAAGCCTTCTGGCCTGCAGGACAAACAGCTATGAATGAGTCAAAGGACTCAGCCTTGAGTCCTTGGGCTCAGCAGATATCCCCTAAGAAAGGTGATATTAAAAATACAGGAGGGAGGAACACACACAAAGTAAAATCTCAGTAAATGAGCTGCTGCCCCTGAAATGCTAGAGTAAAAGAAAGATTGTCTAGAGTTCCTGGGTAATAGGAGATTAGGCAGAAAACTTTTTGTTTACTTGGTTATTTTAATTATATCATTAGAATATTCTGAAATGCCAGATTCTATTTTGGTGCTTTGATAACCTAAATATGTGGATCAAACAGGCATCATGATTCTGAAAGTTGTGATAGAGGTAAAAAAGAGTGGCGCTATCTACAGAATTAGCTGGGAGTTGTCATTTTCCTCTTGCTTAGTGTACTTTACCTATTTTCTGGATTTATTATTTTTTTTGTAATTATACTCTTTATTATCTGAACACTGTTAGGAATCTTGCTGAACTAAACATTTTAGCTATGACCAAGTCATCAAAGAAGAAGGCGTGCTATCCAATGACAAAATTCCCTTAGGAATCACCTTTCCTCCAGCTCTGAGTCTTGTCAAGAATTGCCCCTTGCAAATTAATATCTTGGTTAATGAAAGGGAATCATAATGGTCTGGTCAATTTGAAGGTGAAGCATTATATGAAGTGCTTTGTGTGTGTTTTTCCCCAAATATTTTAAAATTGAGATTCTGGGTTGCTCCATTTCTTTTTTTTTCTTTTTCTTTTTCTTTTTCTTTTTTTTTTTTGCGGTACGTGGGCCTCTCACTGTTGTGGCCTCTCCCGTTGCGGAGCACAGGCTCCGGACGCACAGGCTCAGCGGCCATGGCTCACGGGCCCAGCCGCTCCACGGCATGTGGGGTCCTCCTGGACCGGGGCACGAACCATGCCCCTGCATCGGCAGGTGGACTCTCAACCACTGCGCCACCAGGGAAGCCCCAATTTTTTTTTTTAAGCCACTTTATTGAGATACGGTTGACATACAAAAAGATGTACATATTTAATGCAAACCACTTGATGAGTTTGGATATAAGTCTACATTTATGAAACCATCACCACAATCTATGCCATAAATATATCTATCACCTCCAAAAGTTTCCTCTGCCTTCTTTATTATTATTATCATCATCATCATTATTATTATTATTAATAAGAATGGGTGGCTACATTTCTGACCTCACTTTATGACCATGTGATAAAAGCAGAGATTATTCACATTACAAAAGAAAATTACTAATTTCACAAAGCAGTGATCTAAGGATTAAGACAACACATTACAATATTCAATTTGTAAATTTTGCCTTTTATCTTCTTCACCTACTTAAGTGATGTGAAATATTGCACTCTTACCATGAAAAAGAAAAAAATATGCTAACAGATTATTCAGGGCCTCACTTTTGTGTGCAGCATAAGGTTAAACAGCTGAATGCCAAATGGATAGATTGAACATTTAAGTATAAATGTCTATTTAAGTTTCTCTCTGTACACATTTGAAGATTTTATCAAAATTTTAATGGAAGTTCAATTGTGCTTTAAAAACAGTAACCCAATAAACCCAAACATCACTACCTTAGCCCTGTGTTGAAGCATAATCGTTGAAGGAAAAAAGGGAAATTCATCATTCCATCTTATTTTACTATGAATTTTTTCTTTAGATATATTAAACCTTTATCTAGATCATTGTGTGTGTGCTTCCTCCTCCCTGTACTCCTCTATGGAGTTGAATTAAGACAGAGTTACTGAATTATTGAATTAAGACAGCATTAGACAAAACCAGAAGTGGTTATTTGGAGAGTTCTCAAGAATCACATTAATTTGTACACACAACAGATGAGGTTTGACCATAACAAAATCCCAGTACAACCTTGTGAGTTTTGTGTTTTTTCCACTGATAGATGACGTTTCTTTACACTTGATTCTAAACATTTATTTCTCAAATTTACATAGATGTCATCTTAAAAGCATCAACATCACTTTAGAAATGATTCACTAAATATTTCTAATTCCCTGCTGTATTCTCTTGCCTGGGAACACTCCGTGAAGCTCCTTTGAGAGCTGTGGGGTGGGAGAATGAGACCACTTATTTTTGTTCTCATGGGTGAAACTTCCTTTTATTTTCAACTAAACAGAGCTGTCATCACTGGAGAGTGAAATCCCTCTGTTAATTTTTCAGAAACCATGTCAGTTTCTGTGTGTAAAATATGCATGTTTGCCTTCTGCGAAATAAAACATTCAGCAAAAACAGGTCAATAAAACCTCAAAGATCTTTTTAATGAGGGTGCTTTGATATTCATTGTTTAAAAAAGGTTACTATGAATTCAACCTTTTTTAAGACTGCAGAATTAAGATTAGCTTTATGATAAAACTAAAAAAAACTTTTGATATTTTGGTTTGGGGCTATGATGAATAGTCAACATCAGAGGGAAGCTTTTTATATTTTTATTTTTGAGTGTTTTCTTCATTTTCAACAAAATTTATGACCATTCAAAAGAAATATACTTTGTGAATATTTTTGTTAGTCTCCTATTTTAACCCATGCCTTAATGAAATGTTACTTAAAAGAAAATATTCTTATACAAGGCTTATTAGTTAACTCATCCTATTTAAAGAGCTTGACTCTGACTGCTAAGGATAAAATTTGTTTTCATATAAGTGAAATTTCCATCCAAATTTAAATCTGTCTTTAAATAACTTTAAAACAGAACAAAAAATGGGGCAAAAACCATCTTGCAAGAGTCTATAAACTATCTGTTGTATGCCTTAAGAAGGGGGAGTTTCTAAACTTTATCCCTCCAACTCTAGTAAAATAGGCTCCAGATGTCTTTTCTTTGAAAATTATAGTCTAGTAAATAGTTTGAGTAAATTTTCTAGTTCAGGGCTTAGTTTAGGGGCTCAATTATTTCATCTAGACCAATCTCAAAAGCTATATCCTGTGCCAGAAAAATGAAAAGTCCATTTCTAAGATCTCATCATAAAGTTATTAACCATAAGATGACCCTAGCACTATGCATTTTTGAAATGATACCAAAAAATTATAATATGATATTGCCCTTTCAGTATTCCCCCTACTTTCACATCACTGGGGTATACAGATGCAAAGATTTAGTTTTAGTGGATTCAACCTTCTTGCTATCTTTAGTTGACCCTTATTCAGTTTGAAAGCAACAGTTGCCCCTTCTCCCGCAAAGCTTTGAAATCTTGTAGTTGGACAAGAATAGAAAACGCTATAAATTTTTGAAAACCTTATAAACAAAATCAAAATGTAGAGTGGTATAGAGTTAATCATGGAAACCAGAATGAAGCAGCCTTTTGGAGAGCAGAAAAAAGACCTACTGGTGACTAAGCTGGCTTCAGGTGCAGGCCCCCAACCCAAGGGGAATTTCGTGATTTACAGACTGTTGACACCTCCAGACAGACAGGAAGCCAATGAATCATATTGAAGTGTGTATTTCAGGACTGGCTGACTGTACCTTAAGCAGCTTGAAGTATTCAAAAGCCAATATAAGCAGAAATTTGGGGCTTAGTGTTGATTTTCTATGTTCAGTGGCATAGCTAATTTTCAGCATTCCCAGATAAAGAAAAATCTCCAGGGCAAAGTTTTCCATGTATGACTTTGTTACCAACTTCATTCGAATTTTGTTTTGTATTCAACATGGAGTGGAGCTTGTTGTTACTTATTATTTCACTTTGTTAAAAAAAAAAAGAAAAAGAAAAAATTGTGCAACCCAACCAGCCTGCTCCTGAAAGGTGGCATGAATCCAGCTACAATCACAAATGAAATCATATTTTTCAACTGACCCAATTTATACTTTCAAATATGATGTTTTCATTTATGATTGACTTTTAATTGGCTGTGAATTCTAGCGTGTTAAATTCCTCTAGCTTCACTGCCCAGTTTATGTTATTACCTTGAGAAAATTAAATGTAGCAAAATGTTATACCTTGTTGGAACTAAGAATTCACATAAGTCTAGAGGGATTAAAAAGGGTTGCCTGTTGAAGTTCATCCAGCGAGTTAGCAGCAAAAATGAATTTATAACTTGTTCTGCTATGCTCCAGCACCAACATATTCCTGCCATCCTACAATTCTAGGAAAATTAATTTAAAGAAAGCCTATGGTGGGTTTTTTTGTAAAGGATACCAACAATAGTAATAATATAACAATAGTAATAACACTACATCTTAATTTTGAGGCTGTTACATAATTTCATTGGGTGGTATGTTTTAAAAAGTTAAAACTTTGGCAAAAGGACCTCAATGCTGCAGTGTCCTGGTTGTGCAAGCTTTGATACATCAGTTATCAACAGCCGTCTCAGAGATGGTGCCATGTGTCAGACACTGTACTGGGAGTGTAATGGCTACTGTTTTAATTCCTTCTAACTGTATTAAAACACAGGAATTAGAACTTCCATTTTACAGTGAACTAAAACTGAGGCTCAGAAATACTGTACGTCAAGATGCCCAAAAGTTCCAGACACATGGAAGACGTTCAGTAACAGTTGCTCTTTTAACTTTCTTCTTCCTCCCTCCTTCCCTCCCTCCCAATGTCTCTCTCCTGCTACATCAGACCTCTAGGACAGGCCACTTTCATCTGTGTTTTCCTGAGAGAAAACAGACTTTTAGAGATTAAGTGATTTGCTATATTTAAAGAGTAGGTTAATGGCATAGTTAGCTCAAGTCTGCCTCAGGGAAGAATGATACCCACATCTTCAGGTGTATATTACTGGTACTTGTCAACAGTAATGAGATGCTGGGTTGAGTTAAGTGTAATAAATGAGTGCTAGAAAGTTAAAAATGTATTTTAGTTTTGAATACGGTTTAAAGTTTTCGAGAAGAACATTCTTGGGGGGTAAAACACTTATTTACGTTTAATGTCGATATGTTTTATTAAAGTGATATGCATTTAAAGGTCCAAAACAATGAAATCTAATTCATCTTTGGAGCCTGAACTCATTGTTATATGAGAATATGGAAATTTTTTGCATTCAAAAAAAGTAGCTATTGGGGGCTTCCCTGGTGGCGCAGTGGTTGAGAGTCCACCTGCCGATGCAGGGGATGCGGGTTCGTGCCCCGGTCTGGGAAGATCCCACATGCCGTGGAGCGGCTGGGCCCGTGAGCCATGGCCGCTGGGCCTGCTCGTCCGGAGCCTGTGCTCCACAATGGGAGAGGCCACAACAGTGAGAGGCCCACATACCGCAAAAAAAAAAAAAAAAAAAAAAAAAAAAAAAAAAAAAAAAAAGTAGCTATTAAGTATCTATTGTGTACCAGGATCTACACTGGCTGCTAGGTATGCTGTGAATCAGACAGTCTCTACTGTTATAGAATCTGCGGTCTATTGCATGTTTCTACAAATGTCCTGTTAACTGGCTAATCTGTATAAAAGGTTTGAAATGTGATAAATAGTGCCTAAAGTCTTTTAGCTAATGATTTATGTAACTAAAAATTACTCTGTTCACTAGAGGCAGTTAGCAAAACAGCAATTATTATTTGAGTTGTGCCAGCTTAAACTGTTTTGTACTGAATTCTGATATAAGTTTTCCAGCTCTCAAAGGCCACCTGACGTGTGTGATGATGTCAGTTAAAATAACAAGCCATTAGAACAGGATGACGATAACCTAAGCTTTTATATTTAATGATGTTTTAATATACTATTCACTCACTCTGAGGTATTAGACATATTGCCAGCATATTTATTCTCTCTATATAGGTTATTTACTTTGTAGGTAATCCACAGCCTATTTTTAAAAAATTTCCAAGTGACTTTTTCTTCTTCTTTCTAACATGTGATCACCTGATTAACATGTCAGAGAAAACCTGAAGTAAGAAAACCTAGATTTGCATCTTTATTCTGTTCCTAGCTCATTCTATATTTCCTCTGGATCCATTTTATTTATTCTGTAAAAATGAAAGGGTATAACTACATGAACCCAAAGATCCTTCCCAATTCTCAAATTCTGGAATTATCTTTGGCTTTCTTCACCTAGGTACAATTGATATGCATCTAGGAAACCAAACCAAATTTAAACTTAGCCTGAGGAAAATATGGGAGATTAGAATGCTGTTAACAACTACATCTCTGTCTTTGAACTGCTGTGGCATTTATAATTTACAACACATAATTTTTAACATATTGTTATTCTAAATTATTTTTGTTTCTTTATTCATTATCTTTCTCAGTAATACTGTACATGCCTTCATTATGTTGGTCTTAAAAACATAACCAATGTACTGTATTACCCATTCTACCTTGTTCTGGGTCCATAAAGATATACAAGTAAGAGTGAATTTCTTCACTATTAATTCATTTAAGGACATTTATTTGGAGAAATTGCTGTCTTCAACTTGACTCTGACTCTCTGATTTTATTTCCATTTTTAACAAGCTTATATTCAAAATAGGAGTTCAATTATAGCACTAATATCATTAAAGCTAGTAAATCTGAAAGCTGAAGACTAAATTAATATGGCAACTCATGTTATTGACTCATTAATATATTATATGGAGTATTTTAATTTATTTTTAGTATGTTATCATCTATTCATTTATATGTTCATATATAGATATAAACATATATGTGTATGTATATGTAACTATAAATATATATATATGTATGTATGGGGGTGTGTGTGTTTTTCCCTGCTTAAAAGGGTGCCAATTTAAGAACATACTATTTCAATGCCAGAGAAAAGTTAATGTTGTTTTGAAAAGTTAGCAATTTGGTCCTATGGTATAATTGGATGCAACATACGGCTAAGTGTATCATTATTACAGCTTACGCATGTGTATTGATCTGGTGTCTTTTAAAAAGGTATGGTGTGGAGCCTCCTGGTTTGATAAAGTTGGAAAAAGAAATTGAACAAGAAGAAACACTCTCTGCCCCTTCTCCTTCACCTTCTCCTTCATCAAAGTCTTCTGGAAAAAAGAGTACGGGAAACTTACTGGATGATGCAGTAAGTAAAATTGGTCAAGTTTCTTATCAACACTTGGTCTTTTTTGAACTTCAAAACTCATTCTGTACAATCTTCTATCAGTCTAACCTTTACCTATTCCAATGTTATTGAAATTTATTTTAAAATCCTATGAGGGGGGCTTCCCAGGTGGCGCAGTAATTGAGAGTCCGCCTGCTGATGCAGGGGACACGGGTTTGTGCTCCGGTCCGGGAAGATCCCACATGCCGTGGAGCGGCTGGGCCCGTGAGCCATGGCCGCTGAGCCTGCACGTCCGGAGCCTGTGCTCCGCAGCGGGAGAGGCCACAACAGTGAGAGGCCGGCGTACCGCACAAAAAAAAAAAAAAAAAAAAAAAAAAAAAAAATCCTATGAGGAAGTTTATAGTCCTGCAATTCATTCTGAGATTCAAAACTGAGCCACTTATTTAAAATAAAGTGTCACTGAATTCTGCTGAGTAGTATCTAAAATTTTAGGATAATAAGTCAACCTCCTGAAAATTGTCTTTGAAAACACTTAAGCCTTGATACTATTGGTTCCTGTTTCCTTATTCACTGATAAGAAGCCTGAGGCATGAGACTTGAGGATTTTTAAAGAAGGAAAAGCAAAATACCATGGAGAAGATAACTGCCCTTTACCGACAGCCTGCTATGGGCCGGGTTCTGCCAGTATTCTTCAGGTGCTCTTGTTATCTTTAGGGCAGGTTTCTTATTGAGGAACCTGAGACTTGAAGTTGAAATACCTGCTGAGAGGAAGAGAGGAGCTTAGATTCCAACCTAATTTTGTCTAACTCTCTGAGGTCACCATCCCTCAGAGTTCTTGAGTCACCATCTTTGGCAGATTAGGAAATATTTTCATTATACCCTCCTAAGTACAGAAAACAGATTCTGGGTGTAACAGTAAAAACAGGATGAAATAAAATTCTCTGGCTACTTCTGTTGTCTCTTAAGTAGTGTGTCATGTGTGTGCATTTACTTCCCAGCACATATGTTTTGAGCGTAAATGTCAAAAAACCTATGGGTTTTATAAAAAATGGAAACCTCGGAGATGTCAGACTGAAGTATGTCTCACACACACAAGGAGAGTTCTTAGAGACTAGCACCAACCATAATGCCAATTATAAGAAATAGGCAGGATTGAAAAGGACAGCTAGCCTGTAGCTGAGAGTTCCCTTCCCAAGGGTCTGAGCTGAAAAGAGCAGGGGAAATGGCCGACTGGTGCTGTAGGATGCAGAAAGAAAGATTCCCCCATCTTTTCTTTCTTCCATGTGACACTATAACCTATATTGCAGATTTAAATGAGCAGAAATATAACAATTTGTCTGACCGATTGAGAATTCCTATTTCTGCTAAGGGTAGCCCACATAAACTTAGCCCATCAAGGTATCTTATCCAATACCAGTTTACTTTAGTTTTCCTTTGTTCAATCCACTCAGAAATGAAAGGATAGCAGGGCATTTTAATAATACACCTAAAAGGACTTTAAAATCACAGGAATGTTTTTAAGGATCAACCACATGTCTTGAATCCTGCTGTTTCATTTTTATTTTGTAAGGTAATTGAATAACATTGTACTAATAGTAGATAATGGCACATTATTTATATATTGATGAGAACAATTTTTTCTTCTCTCTCAATTATACTTTTTTGATTAGACTTACTTTAGAGTAAGATCTGCCTTTTAGTCTTTCTCTCATAAAAGTGTTTTTCTGGGGTTACTATGCTTGATCTTAGGCCTTTTTCTCTCAGCTCTTACCTCCATTCACTTCCTTTAATGCATTAGAGTCAGAGGTCTGACCCTTAACCTCCTAATGAATGAATTACTGAATCAAATGAATTTTTTAGTCCTCAAATTATGAGACCACTTTCTGGTGTTTGACACTGTTGACCACTCTGTTCTTGAAATTCTTCTCCATGAACTTTATTACTACCAGTATAATCAACCTAAACGCAACTCAGAATTGATTAAAATTGTATAGGGGCTCCATAATATCCAGGGTAAAGCCCAGACTCAGGTATGTGTCACATAAGCCCTCCATGTTCTGGCCCATTTTGTCTTTTTGCCCTATGGATTCATTCTTGCATTCTGATGTATCTATTGTAAACCTATACTCTAATCCCAAACTCCCAAGGATTTTTTATACCCTGTGTTTTTCCTCACTTGGCTTCCTCACACTGCTCATCTTTGAAATCTACTTTTAGACACCTTTTCATCTTCTAAAATTCAGGTTGTGTGGCCTTCTGTAGAAAACTTTTCTTGGCATCTCTCATCCCAGGTAAAATTGACAAATTTGTCCTTGGTACCTCAAGTACTTTTATATATTTAATGAAGTGTTTACCTTATTGGGCATAAATACCTATTCTTCTCTAGGTATGGTCCTTGCTCTCAAAGACAAGGACCATATTTTATTCAGCTAGATCTAGTACCATGCTTATTGGATAAATTATTAATGTGGGTAATCAAAGTTTAAAAAAGACTCTCCCTTTTTCTATTTATCTGGAATGGCCATGTGCTCTGGAAATATGTGCACTTCTCAGCTCTGCTGTAGCTTTGCAGAGCGAGGAGATGTTGCCCCTTGAAACCATTTCCATGAGCCTGGGAAAAGTAGTTAGAATGGTTCCCTTTCTTCACCAGCTTGTCTCACATGTGGCCATCCCTCATCCTTGAGAACCGGAGAGGAAGGGCAGGAGGGAGAAGGTGGTGAAACAACTGTGAAAGGGATTTTGGAAAAGTTTTACCTATACTCCAGTTCAGAAGAGGTAGATGAGATAGGGACTCTCTTCAAAATGGCACGACTGTCGCTCTGTGGTTGTTCTTCCCTACTCCAGGTTCTGTTCTCTTAGCTGGAAATGATGAAGGGGGTTTCAGAGAAGCTTTAAAGTTTGTCAGGGTTTGGGAACATAACCATCTGTATAGTGGAAGGGGTTTTCATTGAATGTAGGAAATGTTCTAAGCAGATATTTCTATACTGTTGCCAGCTAGAATACTACGTTCACAGTCTTTAAACTAGCATTTCTCATGCTAGTTTGAATGTTTAATCAAACACTCACACCACCAGATGACCCGTGGAAAAAGAATTCCATGGTTAGGTTAGTTTGAGAGATACAGCTTCCTATAGTCCCTACCTAGAGTTTGGCAATGCATTCTGGCATATCAAAGGCACTAGTGAGTTCCATAATAAGATCTTGTTTAACCTGGAATTTTCCGTGCTTATTTGGCCACAGAAGCCTCTTACAGTCTTCATTCTATGTTGGGGAAATTGCCTTGAAATATTTGTATTCTGTTTAAGTGATAGTTTTTCGTTGAGTGTTTTATTTCAGGGACAGTGGAACAGAGAGAAAAAACATATGAACCTCACTAATGGCTTAAATCAGAGCTTCATATGTCAGATATAAAAAGGAAATAGTTCCTATGGCAACTGCTTCACTGCATATGAGGCATATATAGCCATTGGGGAGTTGAAGTTCATATACTCCAACATGTTCTTTAGAATAGGGATATAAAATATTGCTTGCAAAGTTCCTGTGTTTAGTTAATACTATTGGCTATTTCTACTCTGGCAAAGTTATTATTTACATCAAAAAAAAAAAAAGAGAAAAAAAAGAAGGAGAATAAAGAAGGGGAGTAAAAAAAAAAAAAAAATGGAGAAAAGAGTAAAGAAAAAAGAAAAAGAAAGAGACGCAGACCTGCATTAAGATGTCATATTCCAGTGAACAGTTTCAACAATAACTGCCAGTTTTGAAACTTTCAATGTGTCCTCACATTTCTCTGTTTGCTACTTAGGAGAATTGTGGAAAATTGAAAAACAAAATAGGTGACCTTTTATGTGGATAATACATCCCAACTTCTTTAATCAAGCCAGACATCGTAAGAGAAACACAGTGGAGTCCATTCGGATTAATTTATTCCCCTGATGTCCTGATAGAGTGATTCGGCTGTGATAAAATGATGGGGTCAGGTTTAGTGCCCTCGTGTTGAGCCTGTTCCCACACAATGAGTTGAATACAGTTCTAAGAAGCCATTCTTACTTTCTTCCTCTTCTCCATCAACTTCCTCAGTCTGGGGATGAGAGATAGTATAATTCTGAGTAATCAGGCTCCTCTTGAAATCCCATTTCAACAGAAAGCTGGCTGGGTTCCTGGCCAAAACCAGAAAACCTGCCAGACTGACTTACCCCAAGGTAATGTAAGAAGCAAGATGTCATCAGTCACTGTTTACTTAACTCCCCACAGCCTGGCCTTGTCTCTTCCATTTCTGCTTCCAGCTCTCACACAGCCACACAAAAGCCCTTGATCTTAAAAAGCAAGTATATTTTCAAAGCTTAGGAAGGCATTAGAGAAGGACAGGCCACTTGAGAAAGTGTTTCTTTTATTTTATTTCATTTGGTACCAATAGTTTCTGTATCTTGTCTAAAAACATTTCAAGATGGAAATACTTTCCATCCGTACTTGTGATTGTCATTTCTTAGCAGAGGAACCACTTGAACACCAATTTACTGTCTGCTCAGTTACTACATCGTGGTAAAGCTGTGCCAGGCATGACTCTCCTAAAGTCTGGGCCAGATGCTTTTATGATGCTGACTGTTGGATTTTTCTTCAGGGTGGCCAAAGTCCTCCTCCCTCCCTCCCTCCCTCCCTCCTTTTCTTCTTTTCTCATGGAATTATTGTGGTGCTAAGGAAAACTGTACTGCTTCTAGCAATAGTATGCAATAAACACAATTTATATATATATATATATTTATATATATATACACACACATTTATGTATTTTTAGCATTTATTTATTTTTTTAACATCTTTATTGGAGTATAATTGCTTTACAGTGGTATGTTAGTTTCTGCTGTATAACAAAGTGAATCAGCTATACATACACATATGTCACCATATCTCCTCACATTTATATTTTTAAAACATGTCTATAAGTACATATTGAAGGAGATACACATAGAGGAACACTTACAACACTTAAGACAGCACACATTCATTGGTCCTGTGACCTCACCCCCACCCCAGAATGTGGGTCTGCATTATAGAAGGGAATCCCTAGGGGTAGGATTCTATTAATACTGGGGGAGTGGGTGGATATATCTATGGCCCAAGTATCATATGGTATGCAAAATTCAGAACTCAAAGACATGGACCTAATCACTCACATAACGATGTTAGACAGTTCCCTCACTGTTTCAATGAAAGCCATCTCTAAAATTCTTTGAATCCAGGCTAATCTGTCACACTAATTTCCTCCTGTGTCCTTTTTAGGTCCCTGTGCTTATTTATCCATTTATTATTTATTTATTTAACCAAACTTATCTTAATATAAGTTTTGCTTCAGGATTCCCCCACTATTTCTAGCTTTCCCCTCTAGTGTCTTATGCTTCCATACTTTCTGGAACCTTGCTTATTCTAGGGAAACCAAGATGCTTAAGTCCTTTACTCCAACAGGCAAGTGAGTTCCTGCGTGACTCTTCCCACAGTTTTTTCTTAGTGGAAGACTGATTGAAGTCAGACATTGAATTATTTGATGAAATGATTGAATTGCTTTGATAACAAAACTCTAGGAATCATATCTTTGTGGAAGCAAGAATTTGGGTGAGGGGTGTCCAAGCCAATCCCTTCAGAATTTAAATTTGTTCTGTCTAGCTTCTCAAATGTAGGCTGTATATTATTTAGATCTGTCTTCCATGGAAACTTTGACTCAAAACACAACATATTATTCTTTTGGGTTGTTTGGTTGGTTGGTTAGTTGAAGAGAGGACAGTTATGAGACACGGCATGGCAGGTTCCCAACCAAGGAAAACATAAATAAATAAACCTTATTCCTAAAATCATGGACTATACATTGTCTTTAATAGTCACAACTATTTATAAGCATTATGCACTTATCATTTAGTGTATGTGTTTTGTAAAGAGTACAGAGATAGATAAAATAGGGAAAATCTGATATTCAGACATGGATTCTATAAAATACATATAAATTGTAAGATACTGCTACAGAAATAGGTTTTGGCAGGTGGGAATTACTGAGGAGTGAATTGCTGGATTAGTCTGGATGAATTAGAGATGACTCCTTAAAGAAAGTCTCAGGATTCAAAATAAGGTTAAATAGTCTCATTTTTAAATAATAATAATTTTAAAATTCTCATTTATTTTGAAAATGAGTAAAATATTACAGTTATGACGAGGAAACATATAGACTACGTCTATATGTTTCCTCATCATAATAGACTATGTTAACGTGCCTTGTATTCTAGTTCTCCATATATTTATCTTGACAATCCAATGTACATGATCTTTTTAATCCTGTAAACGTGAGAACCCACCTCATCATCCCTACACTGCCAGTTGATTTGCTTGTGATTATCCTCCAGCATCATTATCACTGTCATCATCCAGCTTATGCCTTAGTGCAGCTATTGACCTTCACAAAGTGCCTTCAGGGCCTGACCTTTACATAGTTAAGTTAAGATTTAATTTGATATGTCTATGCTCACATCGTGTCCATAGTCTGATATAGAACAAATTTAAAAGCATTAATGGTTCAGGGGCCTTTGAACCCATGGAACAAATTAATCTAAAGGCAACCTGATTACGGAGAATGAACTTGCCTGCTCTTCTATTTCAGGTGAAACGGATTTCTGAAGATCCTCCTTGCAAATGCCCGAGCAAGTTCTGTGTGGAGAGGCTCTCGCAAGGACGATACCGAGTGGGAGAGAAGATCCTCTTCATTAGGGTAAAGTTTTACTTTTCACTTGACAGCTTGTCCTTTCAGAGCATGTACAGGACTTAAGTTGCAGGTTACAGGGAAAATATGACCAGTAACTCAGCAGGA